GTGGGTTCACCACTCAGCTGTCTACCTGCCTAAGGATCGAATCACTAACTATCAAGAGCCCCCCTCCCTCCCTGCCAAGGGATGTTACCTTGGTGCAAAAGGATACCCTCACCAGCTGAAGAAGAGGTCCCTTCTGAAGACACACTCCCCTTATCTGCAGCATGGTGCCCTGTTTCCTCTCGACCCTCATGCTCCCTGACAGTGGCGGAGCTGCCATATTCAGGGTGGGACTCACCTAACAAATCCCCGAGAGTCTTCTCCATGCACCTAACTGACTGTCTCTGCTTCTCCGGGTCTGCCACCTTGGCCTCAAGGGAGCAAACTCGTTCTCTAAGAACCAGGAGCTCCTTGCACCGAGCACACACCCAAGACTTCTGTCCAGTGGGTAGATAGTCATACATGTGACACTCTGTGCAAAACACTGGATAGCCCCCAACCCCCTGCTGGCATTCTGGCTTCATAATTGCTTTAAAAATAATAATTATATATAATTCCCCTTTTAAAACCAGCAGATAGTCATACATGTGACACTCTGTGCAAAACACTGGATAGCCCCCAACCCCCTGCTGGCATTCTGGCTTCATAATTGCTTTAAAAATAATAATTATATATAATTCCCCTTTTAAAACCTTTAGTATTTATGTGGTTTTCCTTGTAGAAGTCTACTTACCTTACTGGGAACCCAAGGACAATAGGGCCCTGGCTTTCTGGCTCTTCCTGGGCTTCTTACAGAGCCCCTAGTCTAGCAGCTCTATCTCCTGCTCCTTCTCCGAGCTCACCTGGGTCAGCTCTGCTTCTGGCAAGGTGCTGACTTAAATAGAAGCTTCCTGCCTTAAATAGAAGCTTCCCCCAGCAGAGGGTGTGGCCAGCAGCTATTCAAATTCACCCAGACATTCAATTACAGTCAAACAATGACCCTTTCACACCCTATCCCAAGCAGCCAGGACTCTGCAACAACTCACAACTCATCCACACACTCTCAAACATAGTACCTTCTCAGCTAAATCACCTCAGCTGAAAGTAAATAAAAAACACTCACCCCTCTAGCTGCTCTATCTCCTGCTCCTTCTTAGAGCTCAGCTGGGTCAGATTGATTGATCTGCCTTACATAAAGATGAAGTATAAACTTTTGCACTATCCATTCCTTCCCAAAGCGGAGTGCTAAAAAGAAACAATGGACAATGGATAACAAATCAGGGGTTGAGTCCAACTCAAGTAACTTCTCTGCCAGTGGAAAACCCCTTAAGTTGAAGGCAGGCTACTTGAGCTGGAGGAAGACTTCAGACTTGTTTAGTGAAATGGGAAGATATTGCAACACATGTAACACTGACAGTACAATTATAAGCAAAGGCTATCTAAAATTTGAGAGTGTGGTATTGAGACCGACACTAGTGAAGTCCAGGTTTAAATCCCATTCTAGCTCACTGGATGACACTTGGGCCAGTTACTCTCAGCCTAATCACCTCGGACAGTTGTTGTGAGAATAAAATGGAAAGCGGCCTGAACCCCTTAGAGGAAGGATGGGATGAAGTGTGATAAATGCAGACAAGCTTTATTGTCACTGAAATAAATTAGATAATCAAGGAATCTAAAACTTTATCTGGCCATTTGTTTGTGCTCTGTTTTCGAATGTGGATTTAGGTAACAGAGATGCATTTGGATTGCATAAAAGTCTTTCCAGTGCCTTTCTTGTCAGATCTAAGTAAAAACAAGATTTAAAAAAAGAAATAGATGTCATCTTTTACTACTAAACTATCATTCTTTTAAATTCAAAGCAGTCCAGTGTTTCTTTGTAGCATTTTACTGCCAAGTTTTCAGTAGGGATGGAGATTATGCAGGGTTTTCAGTAATGCTTTAGAATTCTAATGTGCAGATGTAACTGTACTGTATACACTAGGCTTTTGAATGTAATAAATATCATAGAAATGAGAACAATGGGTGCTATATCCATTAAGACAAAGTGGGTATCTTTGAAGTCTTAACTGTACAGTGGAAGCAGCTGTATAGTTAAGGCACATTGTTTTCCAGGGTTCTGTCATTATAATGCGGAAATGCCATTCATCCCCCCCCCAAAATGCTTTAAAAATAAATGCATTCACTGAAAAAGTCTTTTCCCACACTCTTATCTACCCATCTCTCTCAAGATCCCCCCCCTCGCAGCTGTTATACACTATTACTACAGCTGAAGCTGACTTCTCCAGTTTTTGGCTGAACAGGCAGCAGCCATTTTTCCTTGCAGTAAAGTATCCACAAGGAGGGTTTACTTCATTGATTATGCATGTGCTCATATCTTGCCAAATTAATGTTTTAAACTGGAGTTCTGAAACCTCATAATACAGTGAATGATTGCCCGACCTGTTCAGATAAGAACCCTGGCATACTGGTGAATCAGAAAAGGGATGTTAGCCAGAAAAAAAAGTTGAAAATATTTTGGGGTGCACAGAAATCAGTGGTAAACCTATGCAAACTATCAACATCGGGGCAAGGGTAAAGAACCTCTGTAAATTAACCATTTTACATATGACTTTTCTGAATTTTTAAATTAATTATACCACGCTAGATAGATTTGCTGTGCCAAATGTCAGCCAGATAGGAATATTGTATCAGTTCATGATACGTATAAATAGGCTCACTCTAAATGTTTTCTTTATGTTACATTGGGTACAGGTTTTTTTTAAAAAAATATAGGACCTAATATGTAGGTCCCCTTCATTTCAAGTGGTTTATAATTAGACTATTGTATTGTGTTCATTCATATGCCCAATAATTTTTTCTTTGTCTCCTTAAAGAAAACAACAAAATTACCTCTTTCGTTGAGCAAAGTGTACAGGTTTACTACCATATCATGTTACATTGTATTCATAGTGGGAAATGTGTTGGCTACCCCAGAATGCATAGAAAATTACAGCATAATGCTAAACCAGCTACAGAAATTGCTAGACTGCCTCTATCCAGATGGACATTAGTAATGGTTTTCAATTTCCATTGCATTAGTTAGTTGTGAACCTTATGGAATAGGAAGCATATATGCAGGACTATTTTTGGGCAGGAACGCACAGGAACGGAGTTCCGGCTGGCTCCCGAGTTGGCCATGCCCAGCAGGAACTCATTAGCATAATAGGTCATTAGGACTGGCTACATTAGGGGTGTGTGGCCTAACATGCAAAGGGTTCCTGCTACAAAAAAAAGCCCTGGGTTTTGATAACAAACAAGGTAAACAGAATAAGAAGCAAAAGGTGAGTGTGGCTGGATGACCACACTTCTGGTAATGTGGGGTGTGGCCTAATATGCTAATGAGCTGCTCTGTCATGGGTGTGGCCTAATATGCTAATGCATTTCTGCTGTTGGGTGTGGCCTGTTATGCTAATGAGTTCCTGCTGTGCTTTTTCTACCAAAAAAGCCCTGCATATATGTCATTATATCAAGAATTTATAATATCATAACTCATTCCAATACAAAGAGTTGATTTTTATGTGGCTGGTGATCAAATCTCAAGCAGGCAGCAATAATAATTTTCTGTCCTTTTTTCCTCCAACTGGAAAGAGAAGCAAAGGGAGAAATTCCTTACCCCTGTCTGCCTCTTACTCAGGATCTCTTGGGACTCGGGTGGTGGTAATAGCTCTTGGCTACAATGCTGCTACGGTGTTTGAGGAATAGTCATTGTGATAGCGGTTGCTTTCGCCATTCTCAAGGCAACAGAATCAGTGAAATCCTGTGTCCCTTAAGTCTATGCACTTCCAAATCACAGGTTTGTGAAGACTCTCTGGGATCAAGCCATTGTGACTGAATTGCACCTTTTACTTGAAAGCTGTTCTGTTTATCAAAATATAATTGAAAATGGCCATGGGAAAGGGCTGTGGCTCAGTGGTAGAGCACCTGCTTGGAATGCAGAAGGCCCCGAGGTTCAATCCCTGACATCTCCAGTTAAAAGGACTGGGCAATAGGTGACGTGAAAGACCTTTACGTGAGACCCTGGAGAGCCGCTGCCAGGCTAAGTAGACAGTACTGACCTTGATGGACCAATGGTCTGATTCAATATAAGGCAGCTTTATGTGTATGTTCATGGTTAAGAGGTGTGACTTCATAGATGTGGTTGAAGAAAGCTTCCCATATTGGTCGACGCTAACACAATTCTTTACTCTTGCTGCTTGATAGGAATTGATGGTCCAGCTGCTTTTCAGGACGATGTACAGGAAGTAGGGAGCCAGGTTCAGATTCTTACTGTCGGAGAGGCTTGTCAAGATGAGGATGACGGTGAGACATTGGCTAGCAATCAGCAACAAAGCAAACAGGACCTTCGAGTAACGATGCAGAAAAAAGGTAAAGTCTGTTGCAACTTGGTGACATGTTTGACTATTTGGTCTTACTTGTGTGTTTAAAACTTAGCTAATATGGCTGTGAACTAGAGGCCTGTATCATAGCTTGATCCAGAAACAGAACCCAGAGCAAGTTTATACAGATGGCTTCTAATAGAATTCTGTGGACAAAGTAAACTGACCATAATCTAGAACACAGCAGAGAGAGTTCCACCTGGGTTCCACTCCAGACCTAAGAACTCTAAAAGTAGCTGTAGTTACAGAACTTGCATCCCTTTTGCTGCAGCCCACTCTGCCTCTTGAAAAGCTGCTTC